TCCCACTGAAACACACGTTCTTCTGCCTCTCATAATCTTTCCCAGCTCTGGATTCCAACCTCTCTACCAGTCATCCTAAAACATAGCCTTTACCTCCCACACCTTTTTCCCCTGCCTTTTAATATGCTCATTAATGGGGCACCATTCTTTATGCAACCACTTTTTATGTCAGGCAGGTGTGGTCCTTCTGCCTAACCCAAGCCAACTTCCTCCCACACATACTTCTGTAGCCCAAAGTTCCCATCACTAACCAACATGTCTTCCCATCTGGCTGGCTCACTTGAAGCCTCCTTTGTGTTTGCATTTATTATTTGAAAGCCACAAGTAGCACCTGTCCCATTCTTTAATTATCAGTGCTGCATCCTTTGGATCTTGATCACACAGCCGGGCAAACATTTCAGGAGCACTTTGTTGATGCTCCAGGCACAGTGTAGACTCCGGATCTAGTCACAAGCCACCCAGAGATGAAAACCTTAGCTATCAAGAAGTCTGGGGCAATCCGACAAGGAAAAGCATAGCAGTCCTCGAGGCTTCGGCACTTGCTTTGAGACAGGCTGCTTTGGGAGCACAGAATCCAGAGACGTTTGGCAGCAACAACAACCAAAACAATGTCCTGGAGGCAGTAGCATCAAACCAAAAAGTCTTGGTCAAGCCAGGATGGGTCAGAAGGAACCTGAGGTATCGAAGCAAACTCCCTGCCATGAGGTCAATGTCGATTCATAGTGACACAATAAGGACCGGGTAGAACTGCCCTTGTGAGACTTTAACTCAGTGGTTCTCGACCTTCCTAATGCCGCGACCCTTTCATACAGTTCCTCAAGTGGTGGTGGCCCTCAACCATAAAATTATTACTTCATAATTGTCATTTTGCTTCTGTTATGAATCGAGCGACCCCCATGAAAGGGTCGTTCGATCCCCAAAGGGGTCGTGACCACAGGTTGAGAACCGATGTTTTAACTGCTGATGGGAGGAAAATCCCCAACGTTCTCCCAAGAAGCGGCTGGTGGTTTCAAACTACTAACCCAGTAGATCAAAGTCCAATTCATAACCACCGGGCTCCTATTATGCATATCTAAGGGGACTTCCAAAAGTTTGTGGAAAAATGGAATTAAAGGTAATGGAATTTTCCCACCAACATGTTGAAGTGTATACGGTGTCTTCTAAATAGGCATATTTATTTATTCATTTGATCTTTTCTTGTTTTGTTTTATTTAAAATCATTTTATTGGGGGCTTGTACAATTCTTATCACAATCCATACATCCATCCATTGTGTCAAGCACATATGTACATTTGCTGCCATCATCATTCTGAAAACATTTGCCTTCTACTTGAGCCCTTAATATCGGCTCCTCATTTTTCCCCCTCCCTCCCTCCTCCCCGCTCCCTCATGAACCCTTCATAATTCATAAATTATTATTATTTTGCCATTTGTTACACTCTCCGACGTCTCCCCCGCCCTCTTCTCTGCTGTCCATCCCCCAGGGAGGAGGCTATATGTAGATTCTTGTAATCAGATCCCCACATTCCCTTCACCCTCCAGACATCGCCACTCTCACCACTGGTCCTGGAGGGGTCATCTGCCCTGGATTCCCTGGATTTCTAGTTGCTATCTATACCAATGTACATCCTCTGGTCTAGCCAGATTTGTAAGGTAGAATTGGGATCATGATAGTGAGGGGGGCATTTAAGAACTACAGAAAAGTTATATGTTTCATCGTTGCTACCCTGCACCTGATTGGCTCATCTCCTCCCCACAACCCTTCAGTAAGGGGGTGTCCAGTTGCCTACTGATGGGCTTTGAGTCTCCACTCTGCACTCACCCTCATTTACAATGATATGATTTTTTTGTTCTTTGATGCTTGATACCTGATCCCTTTGACAGCTCGTGGTCACACAGGCTGGTGTGCTTCTTCCATGTGGGCTCTGATGCTTCTCAGCTAGATGGCCGCTTGTTTGTCTTCAAGCCTTTGAGACCCCAAATGTTATATCTTTTGGTAGCTGGGCACCATCAGCTTTCTTCTCCACCTTTGCTTATGTTCACATTTTTCTTCAGCAATCGTGTCAGGAAGGTGTGCATCCTGGAATGCCAATTTAATAGAACAATGTGTTCTTGCAACGAGTAAGTGCTTGAGTGGAGGCCTAATGTCCATCTGCTGCCTTAATACTAAACCTATAAATATATGCACGTAGATCTATTTCCCCACCCTCCTATATAAATATATTTATATATGTATATTCCAGTCTTAAAAGCTCTATACATACCCTTTGTCCCCTAGTTCTTTCTTCTATTTCCCTTTACTTTCCTCTTGTCCCACTATCATGCTCAGCCTTCATTTGAGTTTCAGTAATTTCTCTCAGTTACATTGCCCTTGCTGAACCCCTACAAGGCCTCTCACACCCTCCTTGCCACTGAATTTGGATCACTTGTTGCTTCCCTGTCCCTGGGTTGGTCAGCACCACCTCCTTACCCCCGCCTCCCCCTCTCCTGTGTCCCCCTGAAACCGTTGGTCCCACTGTTTTCTCCTCCAGACTATTCATCCAGTCTATCTTATTAGATAGATGTGTAGAGATAATAATATGCATCAAAAATCAAACCATAGCAAGATAGGTGAGAACACAGCGATGACAACAAAAAGGAAAACCAATGATCCATAAAATTAAAAGAAAAAAATTTTAAAAAGAAAGAAAAACCTGTAAATAGATCAAGGTCTGATTTTTGATCTCTAGGCGTGTCCTTCAGTCAGGTCTGATGGGGTGCCACGCTCTGGCCCCAGCGTCTGTCCTTTGTACTCCCTTGGGGCCTCTCTCCTCTGCTCCCACGGTTGCTCTGCCACACGCCTTTAGTGGTTTGCCCATTTGATCTTTTTTATAGTCATGTTACATCTTACTGCTACTTAGGTAGTAAAGTCCTTTACGCCAGGCACGTGGTAATTAGTTCTTTTGTGCCCCTTGTCAATTTAGGGTTTGGTGGTTAGCAATATTGCAGCCCAAAGTGTAGCCACTACACCACCAGGGCTACGTCGCACCAGTAGGGCTCCTTTTTATCTGGTTCTTGTTTTTCCAGAAACTTCAAATTCACTGCCTTAAGACTGTATGTAACTGCGTTTCAGCGACTAAAAATCTTTACCAAAACCAAATAAACCAAACACACTGCCCTGGCCTCAGTGCAGACTCGTCATAGTGACCCTACGGTTTGTGAGATTCAAGCCCTGTCTCCTCCTCAGTGGCTGGTGGTTTCGAGCTGTGGACTTTGCAGATCAGGAGTAGAAAGTCTCTCGGCGTGGTTGGTGGTTTCAAACTGGTGACCTTGTGGATAGCAGCTCATCTCCTAACTCACTAAGCCACCAGGGCTCCTTGCTATTGTTAGATGCCATCCAGGTGGTTCTGACCTACAGTGACCTATGTACACAAACCAAACACTGCACCACCCTTGGAATTCGTAGTCTATGAAGAGCGCATGATCACTGTGCCAACCCAGTTTGCCTAAGGCCTTCCTCTTTTCACTAACCCTGTAGGAGACAAGATGTCATTCTGGAGCTCCTTCTCCTGGCAGTCCAAGGGTTACCTGCTTAGACACGAGGACATGTAAAGGGTGTGGTTCTTGAAGGAAGGATAAAGTAAGATTTCACCAAGGGAGCAAGTTATCTCTGGCTGGAGCTGCACACTCATAAAGCCAAGGGACTAGGCTCAGAGGGACAAGGATGTGACCGAGGGCTCAGCAGCTGGCAGAGCGCTCCTGGCTCCACCACCTCGGATGCTCACAGCCCTCCCCCGTCGCTGCCCCTCCCCGCTCCACACACACACAGGTGTGCTGGGCAGGTTTCAGGACACCTTGCTTCACGGCGGAAACTGCAGCTTGATGTACTTGAAAGAGCTAGCACGTGAATACGAAGATTTCTGTTGAGAGTGATTCCGAGCTTCTTGAGTGTACGGTGCGTCTGCGCGCTAGCAATCTGCTGGAGATGGGAGCATTCTCGGGGAGTGTTGCGACCGTGTATTTCCTTGTGCATTACAAATCGTCCTTGTTTACAAAGCACATGTTCGATTCTACGAAAGAAAAGGAAACTATCCCAAGGCCTTCAGCACCGTGCGCCAAACTCCAAGTTTCAGTATTGATCTAGCTGTCCCCTCGGGTTGTTTGTCCCTTGGGCCCAGGTGGACGTTCAAACGAAAGGACAGGAGTGAAAAGAATTCAGCCGCAGGAGGGAAGGGAGAGCGGGGAGGGAGGGAAAAATGAGGAGCTGATGCCAGGGGCTTAGGTGGAGAGCAACTGTTTTGAGAATGATGAGGGGATTGAATATACAAATGTGCTTTACGCAATTGATGTGTGTATGGATTGTGATAAGAGTTGTATGAGCCCCTAATAAAACGATTAAACAAAAAAGAACTCAGCGGAAGTGTGTTCGCTACGCGGTCACGGCGGCAAAGACCAGTCCAGTTCGGCCACCGAGACTCAAGCACCGGCTGCAGACGCCCGCCCAGCGCTCCAGTCTCGGCGCCCCGCCCGCGCCCGCTCGGCCGGACTCGCTCTGCCTTCGGCCTTCGCTCCTCGTGGGATGTCCTAACGGAGGGCCCGCCCTGACCTGGTGACCTCATCCAGTTCGCGGCCATCAAAGGCTTTTCCATCCCAGCCGGGGCGCGCACGCGCACACGCACGCCTGCACGCCTCTGCGCCCCCATGACAACTGCGCTTCCAACTCCTAGCAGCCGCGTTGGTAGACGCCGACCGCCGTTCCCCAGGGCCCCGCCCCTCGGCGTGGTCACGCCAGTCCCGCCCCACTGGCAGTCGCCACGCCCCCAGGAGCATGCCCACCCACTTAGGCTCCAAGCCCTCCGCTGAAGCCCCGCCCACAGAAGGGGCCCTACTCAACTCGATTCGAGCGCGGGAGCGCCAGGACCTCGGAGGCCCCGCCCCCGGCGCGTTCTCGTCACTCGCCCCGCCCCCGAGGCGCGGCCCCGCCCGCCCAGCGCCACGTGCTCGCTGGAGGGCGGTGCAAGGGGCCGAGCCGAGAAGATGTTCTTCTTGCCGCCTCTTCCGGCTGTGGGGCGAGTAGTCGTCGGGTGCCTGGTGGGGAAGCGTTACTGGACCAGGAGTTTCTCCGCCGCCAAGATGACGAAGGTAGGAGGCAGCGGCTGGCTCCGGGCGGCGCGGGGAGCCGTGCCGCGGGCGCCGGGGCTCAGGCTACCCGAGGCCACGCGGTCTGGGCTTCTGCGCCAAGTTGCAAAATCGGTTTCAAAACCAAGTGCAAGGCCGGGGCCGGGTGCGGCGGTGGCGACAGGGTCCCCCGAGGATTCCCGGCTCGCTGCTTCCCGCGGGACGCCCTCTCCTCGGACCCCGAAGGGTGATCGCTGCGGCGTCCCCGTTGCCGCTCCCGCTTGTGTCACTTTGTCGCTTGGTTCCCGAAGTCTTCCGGGAGGGGCCGGTGTCAGTGCGACCCCCATGCCAGGTGGGGGGAAGCCCCAGGCTGACCAGGTGACATCTCCTTTACGGTCGTCAGGTTAACCGAGGGCTTTGCAGAGACTGATGTTGTCTGGGGGGACAGGGCCGTTGACACGGAGACCCTTTCTCCTGTGGGAAAGAGCCCCGCCTCGCCTGCCCCACCCCCAAGGAAGGATGAGCAGACGCGCTGTGCAGTTAGGGGATGGCTCAGTGGGACAAGGCACAGGTGTTGGGAGTCTCCCGCCTCAAGGCCCCAAAGAAATGTCTGTCGAAGAATGTTCTAGGCAGGGTGGTGAGCTCAGCCCCACCCCACCCTTTCTCCGGAAAGCAAACGCCAGTTCAGCAGTTCTGTGGTGGACCCACCCTTGTTACAGCCAAGCAATGGCCCCCGGCCGGTTGTAGCGGAATAGAGAATGGACAGTTTTAGGGAAGTTAACAGAAACCCAACTGATTGTGGCTTACAGCAACCCGCTAGGACTGGGTAGAACTGCGCCTTGGAGTCCCAGGGACCATACTTCTTCAGGGGAAGCAGGCTGCTTCATCCTTCTCCCCTGGAAATGCTAGCAACACCAGAAAAGACAGAGGGCATGCTAGTTGCATTGAGGACCAGCGAGCTTTTGTGCAAAGACAAAGACCTGTCTGGGGAGGCGTCCAGATTCTATCTCCCCATGCCCTACAAACTAAATGTCAGTGTCCCAGTCTCCGGGGCACTGTAAAGACAGGTTCTCTCTGCCACACCGAGTTGCCAGAAGGCAGACACAGAATGGCGCGGTGGTCATTGGTGACCCCTAAGGCAAAGATAGTGAGTGGGTGTCCCAGTGGGTCAAGCACAGGGCTGCTGACCACAAGATCGGCAGTTCAAACCCACCAGTCACTCCTTCTGGAGTCAGATGAGGGCATTTCCTGTCTGTCCTATAAGACCACTGTGAGTCAGAATCCACCTCAGGTTCACTGAGTTATATTTCAGATGTTTGGGGGCCAAAAGGAAAGGCAGGGTCAACTATCATATCTCAGAAGACTGTTTCTGGCCCTCTCTGTGGAGTTGCATGCATCTGTGTGTGTGTCTGTCTGTCTTTCTGTTTCTCTTTCTCTCACACACAGCCTGTGAGTTAGCCAGCCAAAGCCAAACTCCCTGCCATCGAGTCAATGCTGGCTCACAGGGACATCCTGTGGGTTTCTGAGACTGTAACTGTTTACAGGAGTAGAAAGTACAGTCTTTCTCCCTCAGAGCCGCTGGTGGTTTCGAACTGCCAACTATGCAGATTGCAGCCTTACACATAAGCACTGCGCCACCAGGGCTCCTGTGAGTAAGGCAGCCCATGTATTAAAGACAGGCGCAACCATTAGCTTCCCCGGCACGAGATCTGCGAATTTCTGAGGAGACTTTTGAAGGTTCTAAGGCACAACTGGGATTCTTTCCTGAAACAAAACACGCTTTGCTCTTAATTGGGGGTATGAATGTAGCGTGATAGCTGTGGGAATCTGGGGACAGGGCCCTGCCAGGTGGCAGGGACAGTCCCCCTGTGCGAGCATTTGGGACACTTGAATGTAGCCAACCGCCCAGCACCCGTTGCTTTGGGACCCTGTGCTTCTGTCCTTGACGTCCAAGGACATCTCCCCTCATTACCTCCAACCTTTCCTGCTGTCCTCAGGGCCTTGTGTTAGGAATCTATTCCAAAGGAAAAGAAGATGAAGTGCCACCATTTACAAGCGCAGCAGAGAACTTTAATAAGTCCGTGTCCGGAAAGCTGCGAGAGCTTTTGAACATGTAAGTCTTCCACCCGAAAGCCCCAGCTCTGAGAACGCCTCCCCTCTCCCTGGTTGAGGTGCGTATTTTTAAACTCTGCTCTGTTGTTGTAAGGAGCTTGACTGCAAAGGAGTTGCTGGCCAGGAGCTGCTTGGTGAAGGCGAAAGTGAAAGTTTGCAGCACTGGAATGAACTTTGCTATTTTTCCTTTTGGTATCGGTATGAGCCGGGTCTGCATTTATGGGAAACAGGTTCACTTCCAGCAAAGTCACAGAATGTCCTGAGGGATGGGGTCACGAAGATCAGAGAAGCAGAGATTTACTCCGCCCTGCCTCCCGGCTCCAGTGCACTCCTCCCAGCCCTGGCCCAGTCCCTACCAGCCTCTTGGCTCCTTAACTCTCCTTGGTTTGTGATGGGAGCCCCCATAGCAACAGTCCAGAGAGCTGCTTCTTCCAGGGCACCCTGCGGCTGCAGACCTAAAACCAAACTCACGGCCACCCAGTAGGTCAGGATAGAGCTGCCCCTTTGGTTTCCAACACTGTAACTCTTCAGGAGAGTAGAAAGCCTCATCTTTGCCCACAGAGCAGCTTGTGGTTTCAAACTGCTATCCTCCCAGTTAGCAGCCGGGCACATAACCCACTATGCCACCAGGGCTCCTCTGTGGAGTTGCGAGGGTTTTACAGATTTTGGTGTGCAAGTTAATCACCGGGGGAGATGGTGGGAGGAAGGCAAGTTTTCATTCTATAATTTCTGGGACGATGTGGGCCGTCAGATTTTGACAACTCTCGGATGAGGCAGGGTTTAGAAATGCTGGAGAGACCTTGGGCTTCCAGGTCCTTGTGAACTGCCAGCCATAGTTGGCAGAAACGGAAAGGTCCCCAGTAAGCAGTTGGGATCGCAGATTATTTGGAATTTCCCACATGCCACCTCCTCTATATAATGACTGTTTTGTCATTGGCTGGCAGGCTTTGCCACCCCTCTCAGTTGCCAGTTGCCAGCCTTCTCAGGTGGCACCATTAATTAGAGAGTCAGTCCAGAAGCGAGCCTGCTAACAGACAGAACCTTCTGACCCGAGGAGGAGGTGGAGGTGGCGGCCTGCCTACCCGATGGTACCTGAGCCTCACGCACCAGCGGGCCAGTCACAGTCAAGTCTCGCCCCCACTCTGTCCAGAAGTAGTCCAGCTTCCCATCTGTAGATGAGCCTTGCAAACAACCTCCCAGGTAAAACCCGGCCTTCAAGGCTGCCACGGAGTTGTGGGCATCCCCTGTCGCTGTACTCGGCCGCCAATGGGAAGGTTAGAGGTTCAAGCCCACCCAGAAGTGCCTCGGAAGCAAGGCCTGGCGGTCTGAAAATCAGCCTATGGCCTCCCTCTGGAGCGCAGGCCCCTTCTGACACTGATTGTGAGTCCTGAGGCAGGCTCTTTAAGGTGATCTCATCCCTCCCTCCCCATCGGCAGGGTTCCTAGCGGGCAGCCACTGGCTTACCTTTTTTTTTAAAGAACCAGGGCGTCTGGCTAATGCTGTGCAGCTTCCCTGCTTGCACTCTCTACGGGCGGCACCTCTCCAGTCCATGGCACCGCTTCATGTTATTATTCTGGAATGACTTTGTCTGGAATCTCCCACGGAGTCGCTGTGCTAGATTTAAGAGGGTCACACCAGAGCACTAAGGACGTACGGGAGGAAAATCCACTGAGAGGGTTAGCAGTGTCCCAGGAGGGTGTTCCAGGCACGGATAAGCCATTTTCCCAAGTGAGGAGAGCCAGGGAGTCTTTCTTTCAACCAGCCTCTCCCATGGGCCATCCATCGATTGAACTAACTCATCATCATGGGACTAGCAAAAGAGGTGGAATGGAAACCGGGAGGAAGTGGAAGAAACAATGGTCCAGTGAACGGATTGAAACGGATGGGTTGTATCATCATGTGTGGGGATGGTTGCATGTAAAACGTGATCTAGATAAAAAGTTTAAAAATAAATCAGTAGCGAAAGAGCTTCTTCCCTCTTGTTTTAGATCCGGACCCCCTCTGAAGGCGGGCAAAACCCGGTTGTTTCACGGTCTGCATCAGGTACGACATGGTGACTGTGTCCGTCCACCACCCCCAGTGGACATGCAGGGCGCTGTGGCCTCGCAGTTCTGTGCTGGGTTCTTAGCTCCTGGGCTTTCACACGCGCAGGGTCACACACTGTGAAGAGGGGACGGCTGCCGCCTACCACCTGCCTCTCACAGACCCCTCTGTCTGAAGTGAAAGCTTGGAGCACTAGAATGAACTTGGCCACGTTTCCTTTCGGTATCCCTGTGAGCCAGTCTGCATTTCTGGGAAACCGGAGCACTTCCGGCAGAGGCAGACGGCCTCACACGCGGGACTGTCACAAAGATCTGAGAAGCAGTTTTTCTCCGCCCCGCCTCCCAGCCCCCTCCCCTCACTCAGCCCCCACCAGGCTCTTGGCTCCGTCTCCGTTTTACCTGGTTGACTTACTGGGTGGACTGCCCTGGCTCTGCCTTTCAGACACACAGGGCGTAGGCTTTCCCTGAGATCTCCACTGCCCCTGAGGTGATTCGAACTCACAGCAGCCCTGTGTAGGGCTTCCCAGACGGCAAATCCTGAAGGGAGCAGGGAGTCTCTGTTTTTCTCTCTCAGAGCAGCTGGTGGGTTTTGAACCACTGGCCCCTGTGGTTAGCAGTCCGGCACCTAACCCACAGTGCTACCAGGCCTCCTTACGGGGCTGAAAAGCCACAGAGCCCCCAGTAGGGTTAGCCCGAGGTTTTCCAAGGTCAGTGCCCAGGGGACTCTGTGCATCTCCCCGGTGCTGGTGGGGCTCTCTCTGGGAATGAGGGCTTCGCAGAAAGACAGCAGCCGGGCCTGTGTGTGTTTGTGGCACAGGACTTCCCCAGCGTGGTGGTGGTCGGCCTGGGCACCCAGGGAGCCAGCGTGGACCAGCTGGAGAACTGGCACGAGGGCAAGGAGAACATCAGAGCTGCCGTCGCAGGTGACTTGACTGTGTTGAATGGGGAGAGGTTCAGGACCCTGGGGTTAGACGACCCCTCCCCTCGTCTGCCCTCCACTCCCATCCCGTCAGAGCCCACCAGCGAGCCCTGCTGCGGGTGTGTGGTCTGCATGCGGACCTGGGAGCTTCCCTGAGCCCAGTTCTAGTTCCTCTTCAGAGGTTCCCCCAGCACCCGCTCCTGCGGTATGGTCCTCCACTCTGTGTGCCGTGGTGCAGTGCTGCCCTCGTGGTGCCCAACCTGTCGATTCCCCTGGAGTGCGCCTAGCTACCCGTCTGAGATGAGGGGAGCCAGGTGCAGGGCGCCTGCCTCTTCATAGCTCCTTAGAAAAGGTGGCACCTAGCTCCAGGGGAGATGCTGTGCGTCAGGCAGAGCAAACAGAAGAAGCCATTGACGGGAGGCTCTGGCCAGCGCCTGTTTTGTTTTTTTTGTTTTTTTAATCATTTTATTGGGGCTCAGCGCCTGTTTTTAAAAGCATTTCTGAAGCTGTACTTTTGACTGATCTCTGGCCTGGTGGCGAGATCACAAATGCTCATTATATTTATTTTCAAAGTTCACCCCGAGGGATTATGCCACAGTTCTTATTGGGGAGGTTTGGCTGACGGGTCTGAATTAAAATGCTGTGTTAATAATGGACTCTGCTCGGCTCCTGGTGGAGAAGTCCACGTCATCATTTCCCGGTCACCTGCAACCTGTCCAGCTCAGGCTGACTGGGCAGGTCCCCAGGGTGTCATCCTGTTTCAAAGGGCTGTCAGTCATGGTGGACTGTCCCGTGGGAAACCTGCCCGTCCACCCTCCCAACACCCCGTGGGCTGTATTCCTGCCCCCCCACCTGCAGTCGGGGAAGTAGATGTGGGGGATGCACATGGAGGGAGTTGGGATTTGAACTCAGGTCCTGCCTCCGGCTTCTTGGGGCACTGGTTGTCCTGACTGGCTTCCCTGCTCCACCCTCCGGTAGCGGGCTGCAGGCAGGTGCAGGAACTGGAGATCTCCTCCGTGGAGGTGGACCCCTGTGGAGATGCTCAGGCTGCAGCGGAAGGAGCATTCCTTGGGCTCTACGAGTATGACGACTTGAAGCGGAAGAAGAAGGTGCAGGTTTCTGCGCAGCTGCACGGAAGGTGAGCCCCGCCCCGCCCCCAGCACACGCTCCCATATTCCCATGGCACAGCCTGCACTTAGCTGTCCAACTGTCGGAGGCATGTCTCTGTCCCCGGTGTCCTGGCTGTACAAGTGTCCTCCAGCTGCCCCCAAGTGCAGCTCCCAACCTTCGCCTCGTTCCTGCGGATCCTTAGACCCCTCATGATCTCAGTGCTAGAAATTCCCATCGTCTTGAGCAGGCTGGTCCTCTGCGGCCCCGGGTGGACGGGCCTAGACGGCAGGCCCAGAGAGCATCCACGAGAAGGCGCAGTTACTGTCACTTTGCTGAGTGCCAGGCGCCCCATTGGTGTGGTTAAGTGTTGGGCTGATAACCAAAAGGTCCCCTGTTCGGGCCCACAAGCATTCCTGGGGGAAGAGAGAGGTGTGCCAGTGTACTGCTGCAAAGATGACTGCCCAGGGAGCCCCTCGAGGCAGTTGTGCTCCGCCCCCATGGAGTCAGTGCTGTGTGGCTAGAAGTGAGGAGGCAGGCGCGCGTCCCTGAGCCTTGTGGCCGAGTCAGGGAGACACACAAGCCTGTATCTTTCCCATCCAGCTCTGCTCTGCTCGCTCTGGGACACTGCCCACCTCCCACCCCCCATCCCTGGCCTGGGACTCTGAGCGGCATGGGTGACGTGGTCACTCTCCTGGCTCCCAGGGAGGGCCCTGCAGCCAGCTAGCCCCGGGGCACAGTCCAGCCTCCACACTGACTCCCCTGGGGAACTTCCTGGTCATGGGACCAACCTCCCCCTCTGCCTCATTCCCTTTATCTGTGTGACGATGAGAGCTGAGGCGTGTTGCCTGCATGGCACGTGGAAAACCCTTGTAAGCAGCTGCCATTTTACCCAGCTCTGCCCTGTCCTCAGTAATCCCTGCTGGGCACTGGAGGAGCAAGCCCGGTGAGACCCCTGCCCGAGGCCCCCTCCGAATGGCTGAGCCTTACCTGTGAAGATGGGCTGGAGTTTGAAGCTCTACCCTGGACAGGCAGAGGCCTTCAACCCCACCAAAGCATTGCTAACCTCCCCGCTAGCCCAGGGGTCTGCAGCATTCCGGGTGCAGTGAGGGCCGACAGTGGGCCTTCCTGGGGAGACGTTGTCATCACTCTGAGAGCTTCTTTGGACCCTCGATCCTGAAGCAGGGAGCCTTCGACAGCGGGATGCTCGACCCTGCCCCCTCTCACCTGGGTTGCTGGGAGTTGGGTTTTCCAGCTCCTGGCACCACGGTCTGGCCCCTGGTCTGACGGCTCTGCGCTCTCCCGGCAGTGGGGACCAGGATGCCTGGCACAGAGGGGTCCTCTTCGCCTCCGGGCAGAACTTGGCCCGTCAGCTTATGGAGACGCCGGCCAACGAGATGACGCCTACCATCTTCGCGCAGGAGATTGAGCGCAGTCTCAAAGCAGCTCACAGCAACACTGAGGTCTACATCAGGTAAGGGGGCATGCATGCCACACGTCAGCTTGGGGCAGGCACCTCTGTCCTATCTGGCCTTTGAGAAAAGTCTGTGACCTCACACTACATAGTGTGTGCGCGTGCAGTTGTGTGTGGTTTTACTGCGAAGGTCCACGCGTCCTGCCACTCGCCCAGGAAGAGTGTGTGCGTCTGGCTTCTTGTGTTCACGGAGCCGTGCCGCCCTCGCCATAAGCAGAGAACATCTTCTTCCCCAAGAGGGACCCCGTGCCCTTGACTTAATCACCTCTGACTTCG